AAATTCAAAACATGCCATAGTGTAACAGAAGCTAGCACGAGGCAGGTTAAGAGCTAATTTGGAAAACCGTACAATTTCCAGTGCCCAGGGATCATTGCACTAGAGAACAGAAGCATTGACGATGCTGAGATTAGAATACAGTAAAAGCTGTTGCAGATCAGGAAATAATTAAGCACACCATACAGGCATGTGGATGCATATGCACACAGTGATTTGAAAAAGAAATAAAGCTTTAAAAGATGTAACCGGTGCAGAGATGATTGCGCTAAATTAGCGCGAAAGTCACTGCTGAGGATTGTTCACCCCCTGACTGTCGCTTCTATGAGCAATTATCCCACCATGCTACACTTTCAGCATGTGTGTACACAACGTGATTAGATGGCATGACATGTACACTTAATCCTTCCTAACTCAGTTTTAATTGAACTGACATTTTCACCTCTCATCAGGCACAGTGAGAACTGGATGTGTTCAGAGCGACCCAGGCATCACCCTGCTGACATGCAATCTTGTCTGATAATCCCGGCAGTGTCTTTTTACTGTTTGTTAGGATTTGTTGCGACAGACCCCTCAGGCAACAGTGTCATGTCTCTGTTTCATATCCTGGAACCCGTTACTGGATGTCGTAAAGGACAGCAAATATTGATCCTTCTTCTGTGGTACATGGCAGCGCTCACGTCTCAAACAGGTCTTTGTTTCAGATAAGGTGGCATCAGTGGGAAAGGTCAACAAAATGTTGTCAAAAGAGCAACAAATAAGAGAGTCTTATACCTCAGGTCATCTTAAACCCCTGACCTGTCTTATATTAAAACATTATATAACTAGTAAGCTTTATGATGCTTCTGCCACAGTCTGAAAAAAAAAAGATTTAATGAGGACTCTTCTTGCTTGCTGAAAGTAGACCCAAAGGCAACTGTGTGGATTATGCTATAAAACTTTAAAAACTAATATAATTTGGCATCAACAATCAATCTTTCATAAATGTCTAAATAGTTACGGATGAAATTCCCAATATACTTGTAATCTGACTTTGTAGTCCAAACAAGTGCTTTTTAATACTTAATAGTAAGGTACAAAACTTATATTTAAAGTTGGAGTAGGTAGAAACAAAAAAAGAGCAGAATTTGACAATACACCCTCCACCTGCAGCTCTCCCCTCTCTGTCCTAAACCGCTCTCACCAGACAACCATGGCACGCACTTCATACACTGACCCAGTCTTTCCCATACATTGATTAATTTAATCTTTTTCTATTGAAGAGCAGTGCCAGTGCATTCGCTCAGCCCCTCCTTGTCCAGCTCTCTCTGTTTATCAGACAACAATGAGGCAGGAATTAGCTAGCTAGCCAACCCACGGTCCTTCGCCTTGCTCCCTGCCTCTGTGGACTGCTTTGTTGTTAGGAGAGCAGGTCGCAGCTCTGGAGCCTCTCATTCAGAAGCTGTAGTGGGCAAACCCCCTGGTGTTGGGGGTCACAGTGGGCTGGTGGCCAGCTGCAGTGCCAGGTCTAATCTGTGTAATGGCAGCAACAGAAAGTTTGGCGGGAAGTCGCGGCTGTCTGGTCCTCTGGACCTGGAGTTTGTGCTGGACTGGATTCAGATTGCTGCGGTTGTTGACTGGGGGTCTGGTTCTGGAGCTGCTGCCAGCTCTCCTCCTGGTGAGGTGGTCTGTAGCGGCGGGGATCGAGGTGGAGGTCACACTGTGATTGGAGTCTCTAATTAATGTTAGCTTCATAAACGGGACCTTGAAGCCTTTAGCTCTGGTTAGCAGAAGGCTAAACTTTGAGTAATGTTTTCTCTCCATCTCTGAATTGCTTTGCTGATATTGACACTATTGATATTGCGTTTTGTTTCATCTATTGTCAGACTCTCCTTTCAGACGCTCTTTTTCGGTAAGTCCTTCTTCCTTTTTTGGGGTGCTTTGAGGTGTAGGTTGTCGCTGCCAATGTTGGAACAGCAACTTTCGCCGCAAGATCCTCTGCCATTAAATCAGGCTCTCACCATCTGGGATGTGCACGCACAGCTGCCTTTGTAGTACAGCAAATAGGAACACCCTCTCTCTGAAATGACCTGTGATTGTTCGAATCTCCTGTCACAGCATGAAAAGAGCCAAAGGGAGGTGAGGGAGCCTGTTTTTCTCTCAGTCCACTTCAGTAACAATGTGCTCAAAGTTTATAATGGAATTTTCGCCCAATGACTCCAAAATTAAACTTTTCCAGTCAACTTACCTCCAGCATTTCCGAGTGGTATTTTTGTGGCATCGCTGTCCTAAAGACAAACGGATCACTTTGTGTTTTCCTCAAAGCCTAGCAACAGGGCTCTACAGTTGTTATAACGTCCACCATTTCGACTACTGGGGATAATAACTGCAAGTACCTACTACTACATAGCTACTGGGAAAAACAAAAGTGCTATCATTGTTATGTTTTGGTCGTGCAATGGTTGACACACTTCCTTTGTGCTGTAAATTGAGCCTTCATTTTCCCAGGAGATCATATCCAGTGGCAGACAGAATTGCATAGTGGAAGCGAGGCCTATAGGAAACCAATCTAAACACTATAGTGTTGTTATTCTATCGTCATTACATTGTGCAATTAACATTTTCCTTATAATGGTGAGTTAAAGCAAAATGCTGTATTTCACCTTTAAACGTATCATTCCATTTTCCCCTAATATTTCTATCTGTACCTGCCAGATGGTTTTGGTTTGAGCACCATTCACGTCAGTGCTGCACTCCACTTCTTTCAGCAACAACAAATAAATGTGATTAAAAAAATCTCTACTGACTAGATTATAAATGTGACATAAAGATAGATTGCTATAGGGTCGTGCATGACATGCAGATGTGTGCATCTGGCACCAGTTTGATTTTTTTTTTTAATTAATTTCTTCATATTTTCCTGAGAACAGGTACTGTTCTGCTTTCAGGGAGGCTGATGAAATCCAGAGTCTCTTTGGCTCCAGCTATTTGGTGGCATATCACTGAATGTACAGTATGAAGTAATTGTGAATTAACATTCATTACTGTATAATCTATGAAGTGGTAACTTAGCACATGAAGTTATTGTGACTTGATTCTTTATTAATAGTGAGCAAGAGGAATTCATGTTTTGCACTCTAATTATGAAGGTAAAAAGTGTTGCCCAAAGGAGTTTTCTACACCATATTATATTTTTTTCAGGAGATTACCCTGACTCCTTGTCAGTGTTACCATTTCATTCTACCAGTTAATGAATAACATAAGGAAACAAACACTGTGCCTGTAATGTTACACATTTTATTGAAGTATTAGCAGCTGACACAGCATGCAACTGGTCAAACATAAACATATAAGTACAGTGTTTCTGCTGCAAGGGCAAGTGAAAGCAAAATGTAGACCCAGGGCTGGACTGCAAGGTGCGCAGTTTACATTGGAGCATCTAAAGTTGAACAGCAGTTTATCTGTCCAGCTCCAAATACAGAAAAACATTATGTGGCGGCAAATATGGATATTGTTGTGGGCAGCCAAAAATAAACATTTACACATTTATTTTCCTCTTGTCTGTGTTGTGACTTGATGTGGAGAAAAAAAATATGGATAACATGCCACAAACAGGAAAGTAATAGCTTTGTAGACTTTATAAAATGTTGGGGTCATAATAATAATAATAAAAAACAAATCCATAGAAAGAATCACTGTGAGCACTGATTTAATCATAAATTTGCACAGCCATACCGTTGTTACTATTTCCATTGATCTGCACTCAGCTGCTGAGAGACATACTGACAGAAACACACCCCTCCCTCCAGGTGACCAGTGGAGCTGGGCTGGGGAAAGGGAAAGTGTCTTTTAGCAAGGCAGCAGGTGTAACCTGATGAGAAGAAGAACAGAGCTATTTGAAACATCTCCTCAGAACCCTCCTGCTCAGAAAATGTCTCTGCAAACTCTTGTTTGCAACCGTCCAGAGAAACATACACCAGGTAGATTTTCGTTAAATTTGAGCGACAGCCCATTAACACCTTCTCCTCACAGAGGATTATGTTTGCCTGGCCTATAGCTTTCTGCATTTCTCTCATGATGTACTTCTCATCATCATTCATCCATAAACAAATGTGAATAAAATACCCCAATGGAACACAGAAGAAACCAGAAATAGTGAGCACCCATACTGCTTCAGGGTATGTGACTGAGAGAGGGTGGCCATGACAAAAAATAACTGTCAAAATTGTAGAAAAGAATAACAAGAATAAAAGATATGCTACATCTCCAATGTAGACCAGTACTCTACGCCAGAGTGGGCGCCACCGCACTTTATTTTGAGAGACATTGTTGATAATCCTCACAGCCTCTCTGTATTTCTCTTGGTCCTCGATGATCAGACGCAGGTGATCTGGCACCTCCATGTCACTGAACTGACCACAGTCCCATTTGTTGAGTCCCTCATCATTGATCGCAATCAGGGGCTGCAGGGCCTTCCCATTGTAGATAGAGGGAGGCTGGAAGGGCATCACAGTGGACCCTTGAAGCTGCTGGTTGGGGGTGCAGAGCACCTTGAGCAGCTTATTCTTAAAGTCGGGGTCGCTGGCCTCCAGGTAGGTGAGGTGGCAGAGGTGGAGAGGAACAGAGACTCCTGGCTCCAGCAGCACTGGGACCATGGGTTTCCTCTCCAGACAGTCTCTGAACAGAGACATGTTGGCCTCCAGGAGACACCAGCGGCTCCTCACAAACTCTGGGCTGAGAACCAGCAGCACCTTCTGGCTCTCCTGGATGCAGTCNGGGGGTTGTAACACCCAAAAGTTCCTGGCTTAGAAAAACACATCATTCTCAACTGAAGCAAATCACCTTTTTCAAAAGTGTCCTTTTCTCACAGGTAGTTCCTTTCTCATGACATTCAGGAGCACATTTATATCTTGTCCAGTTTATTTACATTACAAATACAGTCAAATTTAACACAGATATAAGCTCCTAAATGTCATCCTGATATTCCCACATATACTACGGAGCAAAGGATTTTAAAACAGAGGTTTGTGGCAGACATTAACTTGCTCACTTTAATGATCAAAAATGAAACAGTATACTGTAAAATAAAACACAGATAGCAAAGATTCTCAGTTGATTTTAGGTATAGCAGCACTCAAAGTCTAAACAGTGTGATTTAACTTCACTCACAGCAGAATAATAAGTATTCAAATAACTCAGTGCCGCTCCAAACAGAGCAAATTTGTATATATAGAAGTTTTCAAATAAGCTTAAACCCAAAGTGACTGAGAGTTTTAAGGATCCATGATATATTCAAAAACATGAAATGTCTACAAAACAGACTAAAATGTTCATCAGTGAAGTAAATTCATGAAAACAAGTTTCAGGACACGTTAGTTTTCATAGCTCCATTGATTTTGCTGGAAAGAACAACAGAATCCTACTGCTGTTTGTTACAATGAAAACTATAATCACACTAAAAGGACAACAAACAGTACACAGTAATGTACATTCATACCTGTTCATGATACAGTAAAATCAAGCAAATAAAATGAAGAGTGATCGCACTGGGTGCACGAGCAAGAACGTGAAGTAAACCCAGGAAACACAGAGTGAAAAACATCCTCACTGTTCCGCTTCAGATTTGTTAAAGAGACAGCGTCCTTTCTGATCTCTGAGGGCCTCTAAAATACATGAGGTAACTGTGCCTTTGAGTGGCTCTATGAGCTCAGACAGTTCATGTTGACTGGCTGAGCTTTTACCAAATAGTAGAGACACACATGTGGACACTGCTATTCCCATTGATCTGCACTCAGCTGCTGAGAGACATACTGACAGAAACACACCCCTCCCTCCAGGTGACCAGTGGAGCTGGGCTGGGGAAAGGGAAAGTGTCTTTTAGCAAGGCAGCAGGTGTAACCTGATGAGAAGAAGAGCAGAGCTTTTTGAAACATCTCCTCAGGACCCTCCTGCTCAGAAAATGTCTCTGCAAACTCTTGTTTGCAACCGTCCAGAGAAACATACACCAGGTAGATTTTTGAATTTGAGCAACAGCCCATTAACACCTTCTCCTCACAGAGGATTATGTTTGCCTGGCCTATAGCTCTCTGCATTTCTCTCATGATGTACTTCTCATCATCATTCATCCAGAGACCAATGTGAATAATCAACCCAATTGGAACACAGAAGAAACAAGCAATAATGAGCACGCATTGTCCTGTAGTGTATCTGACTTGGAAATCGTGGAACGAAGTAAATAAAACTGTCATATACATAAAATATGCTACCAAAAGTAAAAAAAATGTTACACCTACAATGTAGATCAGTACTCTAAGCCAGAGTGGGTGCAACCATACTTTATTATGAGAGACACCATTGATCATCCTCACAGCCTCTCTGTATTTCTCTTGGTCCTCGATGATCAGACGCAGTTGATCTGGCACCTCCATGTCACTGAACTGACCACAGTCCCATTTGTTGAGTCTCTCCTCATTGACAGCAGTCAGAGGCTGCAGGGCCTTCCCATTGTAGATAGAGGGAGGCTGGAAGGGCATCACAGTGGACCCTTGAAGCTGCTGGTTGGGGGTGCAGAGCACCTTGAGCAGCTTATTCTTAAAGTCGGGGTCGCTGGCCTCCAGGTAGGTGAGGTGGCAGAGGTGGAGAGGAACAGAGACTCCTGGCTCCAGCAGCACTGGGACCATGGGTTTCCTCTCCAGACAGTCTCTGAACAGAGACATGTTGGCCTCCAGGAGACACCAGCGGCTCCTCACAAACTCTGGGCTGAGAACCAGCAGCACCTTCTGGCTCTCCTGGATGCAGTCGGACATGTTTTCCAACACGGTGCGGCCGGGAGTGAAGTCACGCTCATGGTAGCAGACCTGCAGGCCGCAGGACTCCAGCTGGTTGATGAGGGAGTGGGTCCACTGGTAGTCAGTGCTGCTGTAGCTGATGAAGACATGGTAACACTCACCACCTCTCAGGGTGGGAGGAACATGTACAGAGGGAGGCAGTGGGATAGCAGGCTGTGACTGAGTGTCTGCAGTCTCAAGTGAATTCATTGGATCCATTATCTAAAGATAAGACAGAACATCACAAGCATATAAATGCTCTACAGGGATAGTGTTTAACTTTAAGGTACAGTTACAACATGTATTTAAAAGTAAATTGACTTATAACGTCTATCAGCATGCCAGAATAAACTTTGATCCCATGGTGTTAGCATTCATGTTATTTACTGAAGTTCTCAGCACTCCATTCATTTTAGCTTAGTGTAAGAAACTGCTTGTTTGTATTGTATGGTGCATGGTGTCTCACTGCCCATATATGTATATATTATATACACACTCAGTTTGAGGTAAATCAAGACTAATGCAGTCAAATAATTTCCTGTAACAAATCCTACTTTCAGTTTTGTTTTACTTTACTTTTGTCGCTAAGGCTGCCTCAGTTGCTTCATGCTCACTCTGCCCCTCTGTCTGTCGTCAGCCACTTCTCACTTCCCCTCGGCCTATGATTTCCAGTCAGCTGTCCTCTAATTCCACTTGTTCACTTATTCCTCACTCCCCAAATACCTCACAGTATTTACACCAGCCTATCTCCAGCTATTTCATCACCTTAGCAACCTTTGTTTGGACTTGCTCTCTCGGCCACATTGTGACACAAATGAAGGTAGACTAAAGACTTCTGAGTAACACACAAAACAAATCAACAGGATCACATCCAACAGCCTCCAAAATGACCACATATTTGAATCTATGTCTATTTAAGAGACTATCAACAACAACTGAATATCACAAGTCAGTTATTGTTTCCTTTCGTTTTCTCAGTCTATTCCGTCTGTTGTTTTCTGTCATTGTTTTTTTCATGACATTGTTTTTTACTAAAGGCAGTTAGAAAGTGAATGTATTCTCATACCTGTAGATGATAAACTCCTAAAGCAGCGCAGCAATGGGTCGTCCACAGCACAATAAGGAAGTCCTGGGGGGGGGAAAATACACAGCTCGGTTGGAAGTTTTTTTTTTAAAGGCTTATATTGTCTTGTGCCAGTGGCTGTATAATGTGGGTCGGGTTTGAACAGTAACTGCACCTTTAATGATTAAAAAAAACCCTCTTACATCACCTGCACGCTTCAACCTGTCTCCCTGGTTGGTGATAATAGTTGGGAGAGTGTCCAACCTGTCATGGGTTTATATTTCAAAATACATTGTAAGATTAACAATCTACTGAGGAAGTACACAACTCAACACATTGGTGGTGCAGCTGTCTGAGGTGTCAAAAACATATTTTATTCATACATGCACACTAGTATCCTGGTTTTGTGTCTTATCCTGGTTTAAATGATATTTGTTAAGACATTTTCTTCTCTATTAAATTTTGTAGGTGTTGTCTGCATGTGGGTGTATCCTGAACAACGCAGTTGCAAAAATAAATGTTTGCATTGTATGTTGCTGGAAACCACAGATACATCACATTTGTGTGCTATTATGTAGCAGATACGTTAAAACCATAGACTGTAACAAAATGGACATAACTACTGTGACATTTTTTGTACCAGGCTATAAACATGTTTATTTCAGCTGTAAAGTTGGGCATTTTAACATGGGGGTCTATGAGGATTGAGTGGCCATTCACAGAGCCATCTTCTGATGGCTACTTCCAGCAGGATAACGCACCATGTCACAAAGCTCAGATCATCTCAAACTGGTTTCTTGAACATCACAATGAGTTCACTGTACTCCAATGGCCTCCACAGTCACCAGATCTCAGTCCAATAGAGCACCTTTGGGATGTGGTGGAACGGGAGATTCACATCAGCTGACAAATCTGCAGCAACTGCAACATGTTGGATCAATGCCACAAAGAATCAGGGTAGTTCAGAGGGCAAAAGGGGTCTAACCCAGCACTGGCAAGATGTACATATATATACAGTTAGGTCCATAATTATTTGGACAGTGATACAGTTGTCGTCATTTTGGCTCTGTACACCACCACAATGGGTTTTAAATGAAACAATGAATACCTGCTTAAAGTGCAGACTCTCAGCTTTCATTTAAGGGTTTTTTCAAAAATGTAGTATGAACCGTGTAGGAATTACAACCATTTCTTCACACAGTCCCCCGACTTTAAGGACAAACTAACATAATCATTAGTTAAACAGTCAGTTTTAATACTTGGTTGCAAATCCTTTACAGTCAATGACTGCCTGAAGTGTTGGACACATAGGCATCATCAGATGCTGGGTTTCTTCCCTGGTGATGCTCTGCCAGCCCTTTACTGCAGCCGTCTGCACTTCCTGCTTGTGTTTTGGGTGTTTTGCCCTCAGTTTTGGCTTCAGCAAGAGAAACACATGCTCAGTTGGATTCAGGTCAGATGATATGACTTGGCCATTGCAGAACATTCCACTTCTTTGCCTTAAAAATGTCTTTGGTTGCTTTTGCAGTATGCTTCAGGTCAATGTCCATCTGCACTGTGAAGCATCGTCCAATGAGTTTTGAAACATTTGGTTGAATCTGAGCAGATAATGGTGCCCCAAACACTTCAGCTTTCATCCTGATGCTCTTGTCAGCAGTCACATCATCAATAAATACAAGAGAACCAGTTCCACTGGCAGCCATACATGGCCATGACATAACAGTACCTCCACCATGCTTCACTGATGAGGTGGTGTGCTTTGGATCATGAGCAGTTCCTTCCCTTCTTCCTTCTCTTGTCTTCCCATCATTCTGGTAGTTGATCTTTGTTTTATCTGTCCATAGTATGCTGTTCCACAACTGTACAGGCTTTTTAGATGGTTTTTGACAAACTCTAATCTGGCCTTCCATTTTTAAGGCTAACCAATGGTTTGCATCTTGTGATAAACCCTCTGTATTTATTCTAGTGAAGTCTTGTCTTGCTTACAAGAGCAGCAGGATGAAAGCTGAAGTGTTTGGGGCACCATTATCTGCTCAGATTCAACCAAATGCTTCAAAACTCATTGGACGATGCTTCACAGTGCAGATGGACAATGACCTGAAGCATATTGCAAAAGCAACCAAAGACATTTTTAAGGCAAAGAAGTGGAATGTTCTGCAATGGCCAAGTCATATCATCTGACCTGAATCCAATTGAGCATGCGTTTCTCTTGCTGAAGCCAAAACTGAGGGCAAAACACCCAAAACACAAGCAGGAAGTGCAGACGGCTGCAGTAAAGGGCTGGCAGAGCATCACCAGGGAAGAAACCCAGCATCTGATGATGCCTATGTGTCCAACACTTCAGGCAGTCATTGACTGTAAAGGATTTGCAACCAAGTATTAAAACTGACTGTTTAATTAATGATTATGTTAGTTTGTCCAAATACTTATGAGCCCTTAAAGTCGGGGGACTGTGTGAAGAAATGGTTGTAATTCCTACACGGTTCATACTACATTTTTTAAAAAACCCTTAAATGAAAGCTGAGAGTCTGCACTTTAAGCAGGTATTCATTGTTTCATTTAAAACCCATTGTGGTGGTGTACAGAGCCAAAATGATGACAACTGTATCATTGTCCAAATAATTATGGACCTAACTATATATATATATATATATATATATATTTAGATCAGATAATGCCATAGATGATGAAACATCTGTAAAATCCACAAATATATTTCATAAACTTGAACGGGTTGTATCATGTACTTGTACATTTGTTTTGGTGTAGGAATGACTCTTTTGGAGCACTGAGATAACGTCTGTGCTTGTTGTGTGATAGTTCATCACTTCTGTTGATGTGTTCTTTTGACTTAATGCTCATGAGTCCCTTTTTCTGTGGTGGATTTTGTGACTTGCCTTGTTAAAGTGTTGTATAGTGACCAAAAATAGCTTCATGATTCACACTCTGTAATGCCAGTGGTGACTCTGGAGAGAACAAAAGTGAGCCAGTAAAGATCAGTAAGCAATGGCTGTCTGTGTCAATGACCCAGGGCCCTTTTAATATCTGTGAGATACTGAAAACTGAGGGGAATTTCATTCATCAAAACCACCTTCCTATCCCCCATGACATTAAAGAACAATTTAGAGGATATAAAACCTAACTGTGCCATGTCTCCTCTGACTTTAGTCCACAAATTGGGTTCTCCAAATCATTACATGAAGACACAAACAGAAAATATGAAAGTTCTTGGCCTCAGGGTTGGTTTTTTCTCCCTCCTGTTCAGCTTGAAGTGTTTTCATACAGACTGGTGACCACTTCTAATCTTTCAGTGACAGACCTGAGCAAGTGCCTCGGGGTTAAAAGGGAAGCAGCTCTAACAATGTAAGGCAGCTGTAATCTAGACCAACATCTGCTGCTCTCCTGATGCACCCAGGCTGGAGGAGCATTGAGCAGACAGGATGCTCAACGCTTTAACACCCTTCACTCAACCTAACCTCGGTAGGGAAATGAAGCTTATGAAAAGGCCACAGAGTGAACTGTACTGTGTACAGTGAGCGCACAGGGATTCTTTTCTTGGCTGCATTGTTTGGACAGCTAACATACGGGCTGAAAAAATATTTGTGTTTAACTCAGTAATTGAACTTTTTGTGTGGAAAATTTGAAATTATTATTATATACAAATGAAAATCTGGAGGGTAGCTGTAATAAATAATACTAATGCTCTAAAGATTAGTTTTAAGCCATTAAGAACAAAAGTTGGGTTGCCAAGTCTGAAAAATCCCTCCAGCATTACACTGGCTTTGTGTCTTTAACTTCAGGAAGACGGTTTCAGTAGACTGTTAAAATGCACCTTCTAGGAAAGGTTTGTAAAGACGAGCAAATTCTTTTCAGCAAGGTATTAAAGGGATAGTTCGGATTTTTTGAAGTTTTTTTTGTGTATGGTACTTATACATGGTCGGTAGGGGTGGGGGATAAAATTGATACAGCATAGTATCGTGACACAGGCAGTGGCAGTATCGTATCGTCACACAGTGTCAAGTATCAATTTTTTTTAATTATATAGATTACTAATGTTAATACAAATTAAGCTGTAGGTAGCTTCTACAATAATGTAATCAATTGCTTTTTCAGTCCACTAGATTCTTTTTGCTGTAACAAAAATGGCTGAAGTGACCTGAACAGACTGAAAACTTTATCTTATTTGATTAAGTTTTCCTTTGGGACATAATTTACAGTTAAGAAAAGGTAATAAACTGCAATATATCACAATATAGCCAGGTCACTAGCCATTGGCTTTAGTGAGCGAAAGAATAGCCCTTTTTACACGGCCAGATTTTAGGCGAATGTTGGGCCGTTTTGCTGGCAAGCTGCGAGCGTTTAGACACACAGAGCCAGATTGGTGAGTTGATCGGAGGTGCCCAATTTTCCGCCTCGTAGGCTAGTCATATTGGTGGAACCCTTATTGGTTTAAAAAGAACGAGGCGCCTTTCCCCCACGCGAGGGACTGTTGATGACTAGTGGGAGGAGCTGTTGATGACGCCGCACGTGCAGCCCTCTTGCAGTGGACAGTGAACAGGAAACAGCTGATAGCAGGAATTAGCGAGCAGCTAGTAGCAAGAGGGAAACGCAAACCTGACAGACACAGTAAAGATGAGCAACTGGGGAGACAAGGAATTGCGCGCCCTCCTTGTTCTCACAAATGAAGAGGCCATTAACCGTCAGATGACGGGAACGGTGAAGGACGGGCCGACTTATGAGAGAATCGCTGAAGGACTGACCAGCCATGTCACTGTTTACGTCACACGTTTTGTTACTTGCTCACGCCCCCCATTGCCCCGAAAAAGGCACATTCTGTATGAACAAAAGTAGGTAGGCTGCATTTCGCTGCACTCCCTGATTTTGCTTTTATACTGCCAATGCTGAACGAAGGCTGATTGGGCTTTCCTGCAAATTTGCACAATTTCTATTTAAAAAGGGCTAATGATATTGCGGATACAAGCAGCCGAAATGAGTTTCCTCCGTGGGGTGGCTGGGCTCAGCCTTAGAGATAGGGTGAGTAGCTTGGACATCCGGGGGGAGCTCGGAGTAGAGCCGCTGCTCCTGCGTGTCAAA